ACAGCTGTGAGGGTTGATTCCATAATCTATTACATAATGATCAGTGGTCACTTTTTGGAAAAAAGAAACCTAAATTTGTTTTAGGAGGTATTTTAAGTAGGGCTGAGTGAGTTTAATTCATAATAAGAAGTATTACACTTCAGTTGTGTTCCTTTTATTTTGGCTTTAATCTTTTTTCTATGAATCAGAATCAGGTCGGGGAAATAAAAAATATCCAATTGCATCAATAATCTTATATGAATGTACTTATTTATTTAACAGGGACAGTGCAGTCACATGTTTTTAGCTATCATTTAGATTTCATTCTCAATACACTTATTCACAACTTTAACCAAAAAAATCTATTTGTTGTTAATATTACATATTTGTCAAAACTTTTGTGTTTAGTCGATCTTTGAGCAGATAAACCATAAAAAAGTTAAGTTTGGGATTTTTTTCTTGTTGAAAAATTTTAACACCTAAAACTTACCAACAAAATAGCTGCTTGGCTTCTAAAACTACAGGGACTGGTGCAATCAGACTGCTAGAATTGGCTTAAAAGCATTTAGTCATATCCACTTCTTAAATGTGACAGACTAGAGAGTATGCCACTATAGGGATCCATGTAAGGATTATTTTGCTAATAATTACCTTCTTTCTGTTAGTTTGGTTGATTACTAATAGCATCGCAACAGTCGATTAATAGGAGATTGTTTGCAAAATATAAACCAGGTGAGGATAAAACTATACCACAAGTTTTGTCAGCCTAAATGCAAATTGTGTGGAATTTATATCCAGTTAATTCATTTATAGCTCTTATTCTTTCAGTGAAGTTTTAAAGTATTTGTTACTCTTAACAATTAAGATTTATTATTTCATTAATTTATTGATGATACATTTTTTTAGCCCTCCTTTTTTCAGATGCCAGGAAATCGAAGATAATGGTTTATTAGCTGAGCTTACCCATATCAGCAAGTTGCTCAAGGCCAAATTTCCGAAGGTTATGGTTGGAGAATTTTAACATGAGTGCTATCTCAGGTCCACAGAAATACAAAACAGCAGTTTACATTTTAAAGGCTGTTGGAGACGACCACCTGAGTCTAATCAGCCTGCTCTAAAAGCACCACTCTAGTTTTCAGCTATTTGTTTGAGACCCCTGACATAAACACTCACCCTACTTGCCCTAATTGTAGCATTCTGAAGACTCTGTTATACATCATATTCCACAATGATCAAGTGAAAAATTCTAATGTGGTGGATGTTTCCTGACATATTTAAGATGCATTTTGTAAAAAAATTAGGTTGTCTAGTGTCTGGCTGTGGAAGTTTTTTCAAATACTGCTCCCTCTAATTTAATGTTGTAATGTTTGCTGAAGTTGCAGTTTGTTGGTTAAGCACTTGCAGCAACACTTGCTGTTAAGCTTGTTTGTGTTGTTTATTTGTTGGGTTTCTTCATTTCTAAATGACAATTAAGATGAGCTAGAATGCCAATAGCACACCTTAAAGCAAATTAAGACAAATTCTACTACACATCCTTTAATCTGATCTGATTTTTCTCTGAAGGAAAAATCCTTTTGAAGCGTTATTAAAAGTTTGCAATCACCAGATTCAGATGCATTTTTTAAGACTTAAGTTTTTTTTTTTTAAATACTAGTTTTTAATACTAGTTCTTTATAAACTTTCATTAATGAATATTTTGTGTTTTCTCTTCTAGCTGAGCGTGCACTGGACACCATGAACTTCGACGTGATCAAAGGGCGGCCCGTACGCATAATGTGGTCGCAGCGTGATCCGTCTCTGAGAAAAAGTGGTGTGGGAAACATCTTCATCAAGAATCTTGATAAGTCCATTGACAACAAGGCTCTTTATGACACCTTCTCTGCTTTTGGGAACATCCTATCCTGCAAGGTAAAGCGGCAGTTCTTTTAGCATAATCTCACATCTAATAATTAGTCCATGTTTATTTCAGGGTAAGTCTGTGTGTGTTTAAACATGTTCCATCTGCCCTAGGTTGTTTGTGACGAGAATGGCTCCAAAGGCTACGGTTTTGTGCATTTTGAGACTCAGGAACCCGCTGAACGAGCCATTGAAAAAATGAATGGCATGCTGCTCAATGATAGAAAAGTGTAAGTGCTGTTTTTTGAAACTAGTTCTTCAGAACCTTTGTAGGCATCAGCTGTTAAATTCTGACTCATCCTTAGTGGCAAAGTTGGGATAGTCTAAATGAAATTGGTTCCAGCAATATAATCAACAATGCTGACTTTAATTACCTGACTCTGAAATTAAGATTTCATGTTTTTAATCTTTAAATTTTGAACTAAGGTTGCAATAGATTTTCTCTTAAATGTTACGTGTGGAGTCCTGTCTCTGCAGTCATTGCTTTGCTGGCTCCCAGTCTGTGATGGTCGTTCCAAACATCAACTTTGTTTGTAAACGGTTTGAAACGGTTTTTGATATAAAAAAAATGTAAATTAATGCACCAAAATATTTAAAAGCAACAATTAGACATTAAAATGGTTTTAAAATGTATGATAGTAATGCATGCACCTTGAAATATTACTGTCACTAAAAGTCATAGATATTTCTTTCTTTTGATGTTGAAATCAATCTATTTAGATTTACTATTTGAGTCTAATTCTATTCATCATTCTATACTCTGGCTTTTTATGAAATTTAAAACTAATTTATAACTAATAAATATTTTTAATTTTTTAAGGTCATGCTGAAGATAGTACTTCAATAATTAGGGTCATTGCCTACTTGCTGCATTTTTAACAGTTTTTCAGCCTGTTTGACTGATTAGCTGCTTGAATGCATGAATGTGTAGAAGCTGACATTCATTTACCACTTATTGTTTTTAATGGAACTAATGCCATTTTTTAAAACATTGAACATCTGAAACATCTGGAAAAAACATAATTTTGAAAAAAATGATTAACCAGAAAATTGGATCACTTGAAGAAAATATTATTGCACTTTTTTTGTCTTAAGGTCAGTCCCATCCCTAATTTTGGCCTGCTTTATTTTCCTAAGCCAGTCTTGGTGTGTAGGATTGTTGTCTTGCCATAAAACTAGTTGGATATGTTGTTGGCTTCATGGTGGATAAGGATACTGGTATTCCAGCCCTTTTTACACATTGCAAAGCCACAACCTCCACCTGTTTGTAAACTTGTCAAAACATTTTGAAGGCGTCATTAGTTTAATGGGAAAATGGAACCAATTCTGATCTGAAATGCGGTCAAATTTTTAGCCAGCGTTGTACCTAGTGCAGATGGACTGAGAGGAAATCTTATGTTGGGGGCAAAACAACATGTTTAAGTCATTGTTGTTTTGACTGCGATCTTAGTTTTTGGCCTTCAGGAAAAGGAAATATTAGTTTAAGTCACAGTTTAGTCATTACCAGACTGACAGCTTTAGCCTACATACTACCTTTGATGGAGATGATGCTGGTGTGCGGTTCATTATTGCTGTCGGTCGGACACCATTGTTTTTTTTGTTTTTTTCTTAGAATTCAAATATACTTTATGAATGAATGCCCTACCTTATACAGAAGTTGTGAAAATAGCAGATGTAGTTTAACACATTACATTGGTTCAAATAGCAGGAACACAAGCTAATAAAATGTACAGTAAAGGAATGGTTTCAGATATTTAAGGTTACCAAACCCAAAGAAATTTCTTCCTGATCTATTAAGAATTATGCTTTACACACAGATCAATCTTTATAACTCCAAAAAAAAAATAGAAAAGAACGAAAACCTTCTTAATTTGGTATGTGTGGCTTTATTTCTATGTATTCGCCCCTTGTTTACCACTGCTCAGGGGTGAAAGTAGATTTGGATTTCTTGCAGGTATTGTATAAAAATATTAAATGGCCTACATTTTCTATTACAATATTCTTACATTTCTTTTTTCAGAATTATATTTATTTCAAGACTCATCAGTTTCAACCATTACATCTTAATGTTTCTGAATCATTTCGTCTGATATTAAGAAAAAAAATATTGAGAGCCTCCAAAATTGCCTGGTCATGCCATGACAATCCCGACCTAAATTTCAAGAATATGTTAACTAACCACAATACAAGAAAACATTACATCATATTTGAACAGAAGGAAACTTTTAGACAGAAATATTTATGTGGGTCTAAAAATAAACTGTAAGTAATGAAATATTTACTCTGGATATCATTTAGGGATGCCTTTGGTAGAAATTGAAGTTTTGTCAGATAGACTAAAAGATTTTTTTTTTACGCTTGCTAGAATAATTTTGTCATTGTTTACAAATACGGCTCTCGTTTAAGTCAGTCATCAAAAGACCATGATAAAGCATGTTGGTCAATGAGTAAGCTTGTTATATGAACAATTGTTTTGTTATCTTTTTAATGCAGCTTTGTTGGCCGCTTCAAGTCTCGTAAAGAACGTGAGGCTGAACTTGGTGCCCGGGCAAAGGAGTTCACTAATGTTTACATTAAAAACTTTGGCGACGATATGGACGATGAGAAGTTGAGAGAGCTGTTTAGCAAATATGGTGCGTGATCGTCTCATAGTCGAACCTAAACACACCCACTCCGCAGGTGATGCTACTTCAGAGTTTAGGCTTTTGGTCGCCAACTTTGTCTTTGCTTCTTAGGAAATGCACTGAGTACGCGGGTGATGACTGATGAGAGCGGAAAGTCCCGCGGCTTTGGCTTTGTCAGCTTTGAAAGACACGAAGATGCACAGACGGTATGACTTAAACCAAGATGACTTATTTGTTAATATTTTGTTTTGTAAGGAAGCAGAATTGATCCCTGTTATGAACTCCACCTTTAATTGTTGATTATTTCAATTTCAGGCAGTGGATGAAATGAACGGAAAGGATCTTAATGGGAAGCCCATCTACGTTTGCCGTGCTCAGAAGAAGGTCGAACGACAGACGGAGCTTAAGCGCAAATTTGAGCAAATGAAACAAGACCGTATGACTCGCTACCAGGTCAGCATGAATATCTCCAGCATCAGATGCCATATGACCACAGAAAGAAGCAGCTTTGTCAAATTCAGTGCCCCCTCTGCTATGGGGGCCACTGGCCAAAATGGCTGCCACAGTAACTGTAGTTCATGGGCCCCACTACCTTTTACCTTGGTTCCTGGGGATAATTATGTGCTGCAGACAGAAATGTTTGTGTCATATTGGAGCTCACTTCCCTTTTTTTTTTTTCATTATTTATTTTTTGACAAAAAAAACTATATAAACACATTTGTTTTTCTGTTTATTCATAGGGTGTCAACCTGTATGTAAAGAACCTTGATGATGGGATTGATGATGAACGTTTGCGAAAGGAGTTCTGCCTCTTTGGGAATATAACCAGTGCCAAGGTTAAGACCTTTCTTCTTCCATCTATCGTCAGACTTCTACAGCTCATTATTACAGTCCTCTTAAACCTTTCCACTTTTTCTATCGCTATTGCCTCAAACATATTTCATGGAGCTCTTCGGGTGATAGACCAATACCAATCAGTGCTTAATTGTTAATGGAGAAGAAAAGGTTCAATGTAAATTAATGTATGAAGACCGTTTGACTTTGTAAAGCCGGTATTTTGCTGCTGTTACAGTTACAACTATATTGTTTGATGTGTAATATCTAATTTATTCAGGAATTTAATTGGGCCATTCTAACACAAAATGTCTTTTCCTTTAAAATATTTAATTGTTACTTTTATTAGATGACTCAAATTTTTTAGTCCTTTGGAACCTCTAAAGTTTTCCTCCTAAGATTTCCTCATATTAAGCCCCATTCATTTTCTATCTTGTGTTATTCTAGGCCAGAAATATATTTTCAGTCTGCTCTCACAGTGCTAATAACTTAGCACTTTGTGCTAATAACCCAGTGCAACTGTTAACGCTGTGGTTGTAATGTATAAATAAATGTATCTGAGGTATCATAACTTTTTTTTTTTTGGTTATCAGGTCATGGTTGAAGGCGGTCGCAGCAAAGGCTTTGGATTTGTCTGCTTCTCCTCACCAGAAGAGGCGACTAAAGCTGTTACAGAGATGAATGGGCGCATCGTGGCCACCAAGCCACTGTACGTTGCTCTGGCCCAGAGAAAAGAGGAGCGTCAGGCCCACCTGACCAACCAGTATATGCAGCGTATGGCCAGTGTGCGTGCAGTGCCAAATCCTGTCATCAACCCCTACCAGCCCGCGCCACCCACAGGCTACTTCATGGCTGCGATACCTCAGGCCCAAAATCGTGCTTCTTACTACCCAGCTGCTGGCCAGATGGCTCCGCTCCGCCCAAGCCCACGCTGGACAACGCAGGGTGTCCGACCCCAACGTGAGGGTTTTCATTTGGCATCAATGCATATATCTTCCGATTGTCCCCATTATAACCAGCTTGTTAAATAATTGTTTCTTTGCCCTCAGACTTTCAGAACATGAGCGGTGCCATGCGTGCCTCAGCTCCACGCCCTCCTCAGACCTTTGGTACCATGCGGCCTGCTTCTCAGGTTCCCCGCATGATGTCTGCGCAGCGCGTCGGTCAGTCCAGTTGGCACAAAGCCTCTTTTCTTTCTACATATCAAGTATAAATGTATCATCTTGATGGCTCTCGTCTTTGACTCATCTTGCAGCTGCTCAGACCATGGCTCCCAGACCAGCCACTGCAGCTGCAGCAACAACCGCTTCTGTGCGCGGAGTCCCTCAGTACAAGTACGCTGCAGGAGTCCGCAACCCTCAGCAGCACATCACCTCCCAACCACAAGTCCCCCTGCAGCAGGTGAAGTTCTGCTCTCAGCAGTGGTAGAATCGTTGGAGGGTGAAGCTGTAGCTGTAATATGTTTGTGTCCCTCAGCCTGCAGTCCATGTCCAAGGACAGGAGCCTCTGACTGCCTCCATGCTGGCAGCTGCGCCGCCACAGGAACAAAAGCAGATGCTGGGTAAGCTACACTGATGGCGTTGTTCTACTACAGCTCTAGCTCTTGCTGTATCCAGTTTAATTATGTGCATAAAACATTCAATTTTTTTATTTTTATTTATTTTTTTTTAACTCTAAACCATCTCTGTCATGCCTGTAGGTGAGCGTCTGTTTCCACTGATCCAGAACATGCATCTCAGCCTGGCAGGCAAGATAACCGGCATGCTGCTGGAGATTGACAACTCAGAGCTGCTTCACATGCTGGAGTCCCCAGAGTCTCTCCGCTCCAAGGTTACTGTTCCACTTTTTTGATACAACCAGCTTGTAGTTATGAAATCTGGGTGTATTGCGCCAGATCGTCAGACTGCTGCAAATTCAGCTTGATTTTTTTGGGGAGGTGACATGAATATAAAGTGTTTGATTTGCTGTATTTTTAAATGTAAAGAAATGTATCAATTTGTTGGGTTAAAACCAGAAAAACTTCCATAAACTGGGAATTTAATTGATGCTGCAACAAAAAATATTGATCAAGCAGTCTGCTTATTGAAACATGGTTGCATCGTACTGGAGATTAAAGCTGGTCCAAATGGTGGGTGATAAAAAACACTTAAGGCTGGATTTAACTTCCAGTACTTCTAAAAGCCTAAACATTCAGCCAGAACTACAAATATAGGTATCGGCTTAATAGGATCTATGGAAAACATAAGCAAATAGAAGTCTTAGCTGTATTAAGTTGATAAACTGAAACTTCTGCAGAGCTTTCAGAGTAAAATAGGCTAAAAGAAAATGTGACACTCTTTATACTCCTATGATTGTAATAACATCGTTTTTATTTCCTTCATCTTAACAATTATGCTCTGTTTTGTCATTAAAACACGAGCACATTTAGTTTGTGGGTGTGACGAAACAGGGAAAAGATCAAGGGGTTTGAATACTTAAGCAAATGGTTATGAGTAAACTACTTTTTAAAATGTCAAGGTGAATCTGGGGGCTTTTGTTGACATCATTCACCGATATCTATCCAGGTGGATGAGGCTGTGGCTGTGCTACAGGCCCACCAGGCTAAGGAGGCTGCTCAGAAGACTGTGACCAACTCCACTGCTGTCCCAGCTGTCTGAACCAAAGGTACACATTTAAGATCTTGCATTATGAACAAAATGCTTAAAAATGCAAAAAGTGGCTATATCTTAATGCAATGTTTTTTTTTGTTTTTTTCCCCTCAACAGGATTGGGTAACCCTGAGACAAGCTTCACAAAAAGAAAAAAAAATGCTTAAAATGTTTTAAAATTTCATTAAATAGAGTAAAAAGTATCAAATACAAAACTTAAAAAAAAAGAGAAAACAATGAGAATAAGTCTCCAGTCGGCCTTGTGAGAGACGAGGTCTGCTTTTCTTGGTTAAAAACAGCAAAAAAGAGAAAAATAAAACAAAAGTAAACATAAAAAAAGGATCAGTTTGAGAAGTTTTAGATGAGATTTATGGAAATGTAAGTGAAAGCATTCCTTTCTGCCATTTTATCCGTTTTAAATGTTTGGGCTTTTGAAGCCTGTTATTGTGAATTTTCATTTTACCTTTGCTTGCTTGAATTAAAGTTCTAAAATAATCCTGGTTTGTCTGTTAATAGAGGCTGCTGTGAAAACTTCTTTATACAAATCGGATTTGAATTCATTTAAAACTTAAACATCTTTCAGTTGTGCCATTTTGTCTAGTCTTAAAAAATGTTTTATTTTCAAATGTGTCAATGGGATATGAACATGTTTCTGGTTTGGGTTAAAAGCAATTCAACATAATATAGATGCCTAGAAATGACTGGTTGGGTTATTTCCTGCTGGTCTTGATGTTCACAACCACACTGTGCTTGAGGTCATCCAGCATCTGCTTCAGATTGGACAATAATGGCTGCATTTGCTCAGTTAGAGGTTTGATCTGATCCTCCATGTGTGTGACTGCTGACTGAAGCTCCTTCATCTTATTCTGGATATCAGCGGCCAGGGGCTCAAGCTCACTCTGCCTCTCCTCAAGGAACGACCTGAAAATATCACACAAAGTTTGTGAATTAAGAATCACTATGACCGAACACGATAAATGAAATAGTCAAAGGAAAGCAAGTTGCTATGCAGCAAATGTGTTCACTATTTAGTATGAATCTGATGCTGGTGGTTGCTTTTCACTCACTGAGCCTTGTCCTTCATCTCTTCGTTGCCCACAGCGATTTTAGCTTTTATGTTTTCAAGGTAGTCGCTCATTTGAAGGCCTCCATTATAGGCAGAGGTTCCTGTGGTTTTAAAATCAAACAATCAGGATTTAATATCCCAACTTACTTTTAAAAGAATTGTTAGAAAGGGTCAATTCAGTATTTCCAAAAATTATTTCTTCACATTGGCCTTTCCTTTCTCTAAACACACTTTTATCAAAGGTAGGTTGATTATTTATATAAACCATACCTTTTGATAAAAGTATATTTAGTGGAAGATTATTTTTTTTTCTATAAAAAGTGACAGTACAGGTAGAAATCAAGTGAATTTCTGAATATAAAACTTATTTTACCATAGGTGAGGGCAAGAACAAGAAGTGCAATATGGAACAGTTTCATGGCTGCTGACTTGAATAGACCTAGAATAAAACAAAACAATGATTACAACCTTGCCTAATCTAGGAAGCTTCTAATACATTTATCATTATTGGTGGCTCACAACAAACAATTGCGTAATGGAAAGTTCAAACAAATGAGATATCTGAGGAATTCTGGATGTTCATTAGTCTAAGAAGGCATCTATTTAAACTATCATTAACTTTATTAAAACCCATGATATGTTCAACTAACAAAATGTTCTGTGGGACTGGTCCTGTGTCCCAGATATTTTAACAATTGGTGAAAAAGAACATAATTATGGAGAAATATCTTGCTTTCTAAAGAAACTAAAATTAAAGAGTTTAACCATAATGACCATTGTTCCATTTAGATGAAAATGGGCGAGGTTTACAAGCCCAGAACACATTATGGTGTTTTCCTGTTGGAGAGACGGGTGAGCTTCACAAAATAAAAGAACACAAAATTCAATCAACGTCTAATGGCATCAGTCAGGAAGTTATGGGCCTGAAACAAAATGACTGTAGATGGTTGTTGACAGACCCAACTGTACATCTTTTCTGTCAGGTGGAATGGGCGAAAAAACCTGGCAAACTGCGATGAGAAGCTTGTGGAAGGACATCCCAGTTTCAGTCTAAGTCATACAATGTAAATACCTTTTCTACCAGGTACTCAGGAAATTTTTGAAAACTTCTATATTGAAAAAAGTAAGACAAAATCTTATTCTTTGGGATTTAACATATAAAAAATTATTTAAGTGCTTGCAGCTGTATTTTGTAATATCATGCTTCATTTTCAGAGCATGTAATAAACTGAATTTTGAACCCTCAGCAGAGCCTATGTGAGGAAAAGCTTCTTGGAGCTTAATGAGATGAGTCACTGGTAATACTTTCCTGGAAATGTCCACCAGGCTTCTTTCCTCAGGGCCATAAGATAAATATTTCAAGACGTATTGTACTTAGACTAGCAAACATAATTAACTGATCATATAGAGCCACTCAGCCATAAAATTAGGGTTTTTAGGTATAGATTTTTTATTTTTATTTGCAGAGGTTCTTGGATTTCAAGTTTTATTGAAGCTATTTATGAATTGGTCCTAAGAATTCAACAACAAAAAACACGGCACAAACTATACTATATATAAATGCACTTCCTGCATTAAACCTGCAGAGAAAAAACTTTTTTCTCTTGTATATCTAAGGTGAGGTAAAAATGTCCCACCTTACAAAAAAAAACAAGCAATTTTAATCCTCATTACTCCTATGAAAATAAAAATAATCTGTATCTTTGGCACAAAGTTTAAACAGAAAGTGCTTTTTTTTTTTTTTTCCTCTAAGAGAGAGTAGGACTCACCTGTTTTGCAGATGGTGGTTTTTGGAGCAGATGGTGCCTCTGTGCTGGACCCTCACACCTCTTATAGGCCGGCCTGATGATGCAGGTCCATGGTCATCTGAAGCTGACTGGATTAGATAAAGAGGAAACAGGGTACTCACTGTGTGTAGTGTCTGTTAGCAGTGTCAAACTGAACCAAGGTCCAGCAGTCCCTGTACTTACTCACCGACATTCTGCATGAGTCTTATTATATAGATTAAACTGAACCCAGAATCATCAGTGAGAATATCAGCACACAGACATCAAGGACCTGTTTCCAGGATGTTATGCTTCATCAATCTGATAATAGATAAGAGGCAGAATGTCTTGATCTTATTTAGTTTCTTTGATTTTGAAGGTTCTGTTTGGTGTAAAGATTTGGCAGGAAACATATGATACGCTGGTTTAAAATGAGATGCCTGTCAGGATGTTAAATAGATTATTAATAAACTAAAAACCTTGTTTCATTTAACAGCTAGAATACGTTTTTATATTTACAAATTCGAACAGATAAGGGCCCCTTATGAACGAAATCAGTTTTTATTCAGAAATATTTACATATCGTTTTCTGCTTTCTTTTTTTTTTCTTTTCTCTAGAAAGTAAAGAAACTTAATAGCAGGTAGAATAAGAGTAAATATTTTGCTTTACTTAATAAACCATAAGAACAAAATGTGTATTCTACCTGAGAACCAAGATTGTTTTTGGGTTTAAGCATTTTTACGGATGGTCTAATATTCTCTATGACACTTCCACCTCTGGGATTTTCTGTCTGTGTGAAGTTGTTTTTCTAATATGACCAACTTAGATTCAAACGCCTAAGCAGGAGCATCACACCATGCTGTTCATTCCCGCTTCTAAAGTTAAAAATAAACCTCCTTCAAAATGCCTCATAATGTTGTGCAGAATCATCTTAGCCATAATTTAGTTTTCCCCCAACTAGTTCCTCACCAGGAATTGCATCCTTTTTATTTCATTGCATTTGTGTAGTTTTATTTTATTTCAATATTTAAAAGGCTGTTAGTTCCCTTGTTTTTGTTTATCCACATTGCTTAAAATGTTCTGTAATGTTACAGTTGATATTATATTTCCTAATTTCAGAGTATGCTGGAAAAATACATGAGCTAAAATACTGTAAGCTTTTACTGTCCAGACGTCATACTTCTTTTTGGGATCGACTGATCTTCATGTTTTAAAATAAGCTGACTAAAAACTTCACATCGATTTGTATTACTCTTATGACTATAGGAGTATGGAGTATGTATTTTTATATGTTAAGGTTCATAATGTTTCATGCTAGTTAACTGTTATCTACAGTGAAAGGAATCAGGATTGGACATTATGCATATAAAATTAAGAAATTATAATTACAATGAATTAAATGAGACATTATAGGGATATATATATATATATATATATATATATATATATATATATATATATATATATGTATATATATTCAGAAAGCATTATAGTATGTAAATAGTGAGAGAATTGAACTACTACACAAGGCGTAAATGGTTAAAAATGTCAGCACTGCTTATGAATAAAAGGGGAACAATTTTTGCGGAGAACTATATATAATTTTTTTCAATGCCATACTTTGTAAGGCAAGGCAAGTTTATTTATATAGCACAATTCGGTGCAAAGGCATTTACAATTGCTTTACACAAACTATAAAACAGAAGCAAAATAAAAGCAAGTAAAGAGAAAAACATGAAAAAGCAGGTAGTAAACCAAATAAAACAGTTGGACCACAAACTTAAACTAATGATAAATTAGTTTTAGTTGAACCTTTATTTTAACAAGGCAGTTCTAAACAAATGGGTTTTTAACTTTGACTTAAAAGATCTCAGGGTTTTTCAGTCTTTTGGGATATTGTTCCGTATAATCGGAGCAAAGGATAAAAATGCTGCTTCTCTGTCTTTGCATAAAGAGCATCAAAAATAACAGGACAAAAATTTGTTTTATAGCGTTGCTATAGTTAACCCTTTATACCCTTAATAATTGACAGAAAAAAAATAAATAAATTAGAGTTGTCTTTGAACTTTCTGAGAAGTGAAATAAAAAACATACATTTTGTATAAGTTAAATTTGATCATTTATTTGAATCAATGTTAATTCATGAAGCATTTCTGTATATTTTTTTATACATTCTCTCTTTGCTAGATTTGTCTGATTGTGTAAGTCAAGGTTTTGAAGAACGGCTTTAAAGTGTTAACAGCCTAATTAAAAAAACAACAACAAAAAAATCAAATTCTGATTGAATATTAACTTAATATAACAGTTAGCTGCTACGGGAACTTAGAAAAGCCTAATTTAATACATTTTGATCCATAACTTAGTGAGTGTATTTAGAGGGGTTCAGCATTCCCTAATGCAGCCAATTTAAAACACAAATGTTTTAACACTTGATTGAATACTGCTGACGTCAGTAAGTTCCTCTTATCTCCAAAAATGTTGGCTTTTTGTCCCTGAGTACTATGGAAGGTCTTTTCCTTCTGCTCTTGGGTTGATTCATACATTTTGCTCTAAAAAAAAAACAGAAGCCGTCACCCTCCTGTATGGTAAACTGATTGAACATTCCTATGCTGTTTATACTTGCTTGTATTTGTTTAAACAGATGAGTGCTGCAGCCATCAGGGTGTTTTAGTTCAGAATGAACTAGAATCCTCATTCTGATGTCTGTTCATTTCTTTTGATTATGCACTTGCGATAATCTCACAAAAAAGTGTTGTTTTTAAAGCATAGTTTTAAAATACTACCATTGAACTTAATCATAATTAAATAACATCCCAAAGTCATCCGGAGAAATTACATAATTCTCTTTGCTTCCCAGATTGTTTTAGAGAATACTAATTCCATGCATGCTAATGTAAATATCCACTCCACACAAGGGTTATTGCTACCTTTACATCCTTATAATCGGTGTTAAAAAATTGCTGCTCAGCTCTTCTCCAAACCAGATATACATAAAATTCCACTGATATATTCAGCTTAAATATTTAATACAAGGCCATATAACACAAACTGCCTAAAAAACCCAAACCAACTTGAGCTTCTATTCTTCTGCAGGAGAAAAACATTTGCCGTGGTTTTAAGAATCTGATTTCTGCTTTGATGGAAACCAGATGTGGGAACAAGGAACATGTTTTCAGCCTGATATTATTCATCTGGTCTGGGGGGCTGTTTGCCACCACTCCTGCTGCCTGACTGACTATTTTGCTGGAAGTAGAAAAGGCTCCGGCTCTTTTTGTCTCTTGAAAACATTAGTTCCTAAGGAGCTCCGGACAGAAAGATCTCCTCATTTGTAATGCAAGGCATGTGAGGCGGCCTTGACCTGATTAAACCATAAATGTGTTTGCAGGAAGATGTGGTCAGACCAGAAAAAAAGAGCACTGCAAGAGTTTTCCGTTGTATAATATCAGTTGAGATGCTGGTATCATACTGATGATAAGATGTAAAAATCAGGCCTTGAACTGATTTGAAGCTTTGTACAACATGTTTGATGTGGGGTTACTTACCAAAACATAAAATTCATTCAAGTTTATCACGTCTTGATAAGTTCAGATATCTTCTGCAAAAACAGATCTATTTTTCATGAAAAGTTTGTTCTGTTTTCCAGAGATTATGTTTAGTGGATAATTGAAAACAACAGCTGACATGCATTATCTTTATCTCCAAAGGAGTTAAAAGTCTAGCTAAAATTCTCTTTTATGAATTAAACACTGCTTAAACGATACAATATACTGTAAAAATATGCAAATCTCTGAACTATTTTTACAATTTGTGAGAAAAAAAATTACTTAAGCAGGATGTCTTTTAAATATTATTTAATCAGTGCATAATTTTGGATAAAAAAAAGGAAATTGTTTTCATTCATTTGTGTAAAAAACTGTTATTTTGTGGCATATGTATCCGACAGTCGATATATATATTGTTTGCCTTATGGAATAAATTTCTACCAGTTCTGCAAATCTGTAACAACATTTATAACAGATTCTTTCAGGCTTTGACTGGGCCAATTACCACTAAGTCTGTAGGTCTAAGAGATACTTTAAAGAGACACTTTAAAGAGACCTAAACTTTAAAGAGTAGTAATATTCTCCAACAAAACTCTCAGAACAGCAAAGTTTTAAATAATTTGCAGTTTTCTTTCTTTTCTTCTGAACCTTCATATTGAAGGGAGCTGAATACAAATGCACATCATGTTTCATGTATTGTATTTGTGAGATATTTTGAAATCTACCCATCTCATTTAAGATGAGATTTCATCATTCAGCTTTTATTCCTCCTCTTGCCTCTTTCCAAACCGCTGAGAGGCTGAAAAATTACACACGATCCAGAAAGGTTTTTCCTTTTTTTTAACTGAGGTTCAAGAGGAGATCCTGTTTCCTCTTCAAGTAGGTGGTCCACAAGATAAGTTACACCCAGGTGCTTTAGACAAGGATTGCATTTTACTTGTTTTAAAATGCAGCCTATTGTTGATTCCCCCCCCCCCCTTCTCTTATCAGGCAAACTATGTTGCTTTGCTTCCAAGTTTAATCACATGCTTTAGGCAGCAGAGCCTGAGCTGCAAAACCACATTGTAGGTTGTTCACAGTTGCTGCCACAAGAGAACAGGGGGAGGCTCAGATTTCGTGGCCACAGATTTTTCTCTGACTCTCCAGTGCTGCGTTCAGGGCTTGCAGAAAGCATTGGAAATAAAGAACAGTTCAATATGGGAAATAATCGTTTCTACCTTGGATATTGGTTGTAAGAATCAATCTAAAAAACAAACAGCTGTGTACAAAAAAAAAATGTTTTGAACATATTTAAGTGACAGGGCACTTAGAAAACGGACGTCTACATATAAATACTAAGCTCCATGTTTATCTGCTGTAAGGTCAGATTGGCAATGGTATCAAAAACTATAAACCTCAGTGGGGTTCAAAATCTCAAGGCGGATCTAATTTACTAGTGAAATATGCTGTGTTTAACTGATTTAATTTGAAAAGTCAGAGATGTTTAACATCCAAGAATTCAGTTGTTAATATGGCTGCTGTACCTTCAAAACTTAAAACAAAAATATCCACAACATAAAACACCATTACCAGTCAAAAACAGATTTATCAAGTGTTACCTTTGACACTTAACCTCTGCACTCCAATTTTGACTTCTAACTGGACTTCGTTTTACTGCGAATTTGGGACTCTTGAATCTATTGAGAAGCACTGAATATAAAAGAGATTGATGTAAATTATTTGATGCGATCTCTGGGTTTCCTTACATTTTCTTTGACTTCTAAGTTATTAGGTTATTTCTAGATTATTAGGTCTGAACTGGAGCCCAATGTGTGACATTTGTAGCTGCAACAGACAAAAATAATCTGAGTAAATATATATTTTAAATAGCTATATTTTTATGAAAAGAAATAATCCAAATTAATCTGACATTACCAGTGGAATCAATTAATCACTTGAATAGAACCTATTTGACAGCATGCAAAAGTAGGCCAAAAGGTCTCAAATGGTGACAAATCATTCCCCTATAACAACTAGAAGTCTGGAAATAATCACAAAACCATCACTACAGGTTTGGTGCCCTAGTAGTAGACCAGTTTCCATCAATGGAGAAACATAAATCCATGCAGAACCTTCTAAGAAGTGGGTTGGTAAACCAAAATTATTTCAAGAGTACTTAACAACTCATGCAGGAGGTTTAAAGAAAGGGCTAGAACAACATATAAAGCATTGCTCACCTCATATGTCTCAAATAGAGAGTCTCTATACCAGGACCCTATTAGTTTTGAGTGGCCATGATAGATAAATATCTGCCTTTTTAAGACTTTTTTTTTCCTCTTTACATTATCATGTTTAATTAATTACAGAGGAGGTAAAAAAGGAGGTAGAATTTACTATTTAATATATATTTTGGTTGCATGAAACCAGGCGCGCTGGAAGCTGTTTCAAGCGAGGGGGGCTGATGGCTGGGTTAGAAAACACATGACGTCATTATGTTGAGGGCTGTGGCTGACGTTTTTAACATAATATTGTAGGCCTACATTTGTCGCCAAAAACTGCCTTTTAAAATGCATCGGAACAAAGCATGAACATTTTAAACTTTATATCTTCTCTTTTAATCATTCAAAATTGATCGTCTGCCTGGCTGTGTGTTTCCTGGACGGGGCCGCCTTTTACAGCTGCTTTTTATGTCTCTGCTTCCGTCTCCTTGATCCCCAGTGGGCCTCGGCAGATGGCCGCTCACACTGAGCCTGGTTCTGCTGGAGGTTTCTTCCTGTTAAAAGGGAGTTTTTCCTCTCCACTGTCGCTACAAGCATGCTTAGTGTGAGGGATTGTATTTGAGTCAATGAGTCGATGCAATCAACTGGTTTTCCTTAGATGGAAAACTTTGTATCAATTTGACTGGATGATCTGGTTGAACTGTAAAGTGCTTTGAGATGACATGTGTTGTGAATTTGGCGCTATATAAATAAACTGAATTGAATTGAAAACAAACAACAGCTTGCAATCAACAGGAACAGGAATACTTGAATGAAACATGGCCTAAATATAGCCTAAACTGAGCATTGAACATCTTGAAAGTCCATTCGACTATGGATATGGGGAATGATTTCATATCTGAAACAAAAAACACACACACAAAAAAAATTATAATTTCATATTTTATCACTTAATAGCTTAATACAGACATAATATTTAGTGATATGCAGCCTATTCTCTCGTTTAGGGGAATTAAAACCATTTCTCACCTCGAAATAGTCAGAAATACATTTCTGCTGCCTATTGCTACCCATGCCTAAACGAATGTAAGGTGGCGGAAGCACTTCAGGGGGAGTAGCCTAGTTTTTTATGAAATATTAAAATAATGAATCATTAGTTTATATCTTATACACAGCCCGTCATTTTAATCCCATATCAAACACAGTCTTTTAAAAAATAAATACATAAATAATTTCATGTTTTTAAGTACAATAATATGTTACCCCACAGCCCCCCACCATGGGGGGCTGATGCTATGACGAGGGAGGCTGCAGCCCCCACAGCACCCCCCTTCCCGTGCCACTGCATGAAACCAAACTTCAAAGTTTAAAATCTAATTCAGGACTTGTGGCCTGACCTTAATAAAGCCATTTATGCTTAACAGACTTTTGAATTTATTTGAGTAAAAACAACATAAAGCAATCAAAATACTTATTTGTTGCCACCAATGAAAGTACAATCAGTTTATTAGGAAAGAAAGGTTAGACTTTTCAAAAATGTTTTGATTTTATGACACTAAATCATTTATTTACTTACAATATATTGGTTTGATATTAAGACGTGGTAAATGGTCGTTGGCAACTGTGACTACATAAAATAGAATATTATATTATACAAACAATAAAGAAAACTAAATTCTTAAGAATCCAGGAAGTCGGAGTTGTCCGTGAACGCAGCACTGAGTGACACTCCAGCAGCCTAATCCAAAGAGTCAGGATGCAGAGCGGCGCCCCTGCTCCATCCAGCGACCTTTAACTTCTTTTTTCCAGGGCTGACTGAGGAAACCCTGCCGACACTTTGTCCTTAAACGCTCTAAATCCCACCTCGGTGAGCACCAGCGGTGGGTTTCATCTGTTCCGTCTTCCTTCTCAACCGGACTTGAGTGGACGTTACGTGGGGACAATGGAATCCAACGTTATCCAGGACAGTATCCGCCCTCAGAGGCTGCAGCCGGGGATTGGCTTCGGGTCCGGACCGACGGGGACCCTCCGCTCCTCCTCTCTCCGACCCGGAGTAACGGTCCCGGTCGCGCCGTTGCTGCCCTCCCCGGCTTCCCTGTGCGCTTCGTCGGGGCCTCCTCCTCCTCCGCCGCCGCTGCAGCTGCACAGCCTCTATGGAGGAGTGGGAGCGGGGCTGGGGCCCGGGGCCGGGGGCCACTGCAACCCGGGGAACCCGGCGGTTCTGAAGGAGGCGGTGGAGGCGGTGGTCCGCAGCTTCGCCAAACACACGCAGGGCTACGGCAGAGGTAAGGATCAGTGAGATAAAAACACTTCAGGAGGAGTAGCAGGAGTTTAGAGCACAGGAAAAACAAGCCAGACCTTCTTTTTTCCTGATCTTCATCAGATTTATTCCCATTCAATAATTTAGGCAAGACAAGGCAAGGTAAGGCAAGGCAAAGCAAATTTATTTGCATAGCACAATTCAATACAAAGACAATGCAAAGTGCTTTACATGATTAGAATATAGGAAAATAAAACACAATCAGAGCAAGTAAAAGAAAAAATAAACAATAAAAAAGATGCAGAAACAAGAAAGGACATTAAAAGCAGTTGGACTAAAGAAAAAAAAATCTAAAAGAAAGGATTTCTAACTACCAGTGAACTGCTATACATTTGTTATTACATTCCTCAGGTAGAAAACTCAACTCTTTCCATAACTTGGCCCCATGCTGGAAGTAGGCCACCAGATCTGGGGCCAAATCAGACCCAGGGGCGGTTTTAGTGGATTGTGGTTATGAAGATTTGGGCCAATTTTTGCTGAAAGATGGAAAAGAACAATCACATCGATCTGAATGTGAATGCAATGCAGATGATGTTCAGGAAACATGTCCAGAAACCAGAGATCCCACTCTATATATGAGCCAACACATTTTGGCTGACTGGATATGGGGGTGTGTGTGTGTGAGGACACAACATGACATGATCTGATGTTAGAGGGGATGTTTCGCTTCCAAGGAGACAGATTTTTTGGGTTCTTATCTGAATAAAGGTTTGGTTTCTGGAGATATTTAGCGACAAAATGCGTTTTTTTCCTCCAAAAAATGATTTCCTGTCTGATAAGTCATGTAGCTCTGGGCTATAAGTCATTCAGATAATTATCCAGTGTTGTTTAGGAAAAAAAAATCCCCTTATTGTCCCACAAGGGGGAAATTATGGGACATGAAGGATAGTTTAGCACTGAAACTATCCATCATCTCAGATCTTTCTGCATCAAATTTGCTCGTTGTTTCAGAACACTCCTCCCAAGATGTTGTTCTATTCACTGACTGGACTGAAAAGGTAAAAGAAATGCATCACAGTTATTGAGATCTGCTTTGAAAACAAGTTTTGAAATTAGTAAAAGCAAAACAAACAACAAGAAATGCAGCTAAGTTCCAAAAACAAGCACATCCAAAAGTCATGAGTATTGTTAATTGATGTCTTTAACCTTAAACTAGACTTCAGCCACTCTGAGCCTTTCTACACAGAATTAATAGGATTTACTTCCAAAAGATTGTGTCTGTGTGCTGTGACTGACAGCCTTGTCCCTCCTCTATCCCTCTGAGGCTTCCTAATACCTCCAACCTAAGTAATGGAGCTGCTGTCAGAGGATTGGCTCACAGACTCCTCCTTTAATTAAAAATCAGCTGACTTTAACAAGTGATTAAAACGCATAATATTACATTTTATGTTACTTCTGCTGTAAGCGTGCATTCCTGAGTCATGGCTTTTCTGCAGCACTTCCTGTTTGTTTCCTCTTTTATTCCTAAGGAAAGACTCGGACAAAAGGGCTGCGTCTTATCACCATGCGCTCCCCTTTGTTTGACCTTAGAGGAATAAACTTGAAGGTATTATTTTGGAGCAAAAAAAACAGTCATTCAGAATGAATTACAGCAGTTTAGGTTGTTTAGAGTATAGCTTTGATTTTATTAAAAGGTTCAAAAGATTAATGGACTGGTAAAGAAATTGCTGCAGTTGTTTAAACTCTCTGCTTTCATGTTCAGTAATCCCAAACTCAGTCCGTAATGTTTGGATCCAAACTCTATGGGGGAGGGAGGGAGGGAGGGGGGGAAACCATCTGTCGCAGGAATCCATCCCCTTTCCTGAAGTTTCCTCTGTTTGAAACCTGGCGCAATGTTTTGGACACGCTGCATAAAGATTTGGAGACCACACTCCTCCCTGAAGGCATTTTTTTTTTCTAGAATGGATGAGAGTCTATAAACATCTCAGAAAGCACATAAACCTTATTTTACGGCCAACTAACAACAAGATGAGGGCGTACGCACTGAAGGTTTTATTGCCCGCTTCAGTGGGAGCATAAAAAATATTATTTGGATAGGAGTTTAGGGATTTATATCTCCATGGTGTGTTTGTAGTTTTGTTGACAGGGAAAGTTGTGATTTCTATTGAAATGCAGATCTAAAACCCACTAATGTGACTCAGGCTGTCGGAGCCCAACAGTCGGAGCTCAGAGTTTAATCAGGCGGCTCTCGCTTTACACTGCAGGCCTAAACTTACATAACTAGTGGCTCTTACAGAAGTTTTCCCACCCATGAAACAGTTTCCAGGTGATGGAAATTTTCTAATATAGACATGAACATTGAAACTCCAGTCTTACATCACTCAACAATGGAGAGAAACTTAAATAAAGTCACATTGCTCAATAAAAGTTGTCTTTTTCTGGCAAAATCTTCCATCTCTTGTTGCATTGTAGCCGAAATAAGCTCCGTTTGTCGTGCTTCCTCTCTCTTCAGTGAACGTGGTGGAAGCTCTGCAGGAGTTCTGGCAAATGAAGCTGACCAGAGGGGCCGACTTGAGAAATGGAGCTCTGGTGGTTTATGAAATGGTGCCCTCAAACAGCCCTCCGTACGTCTGCTACGTCAGCCTTCCAGGCGGCAGCTGCTTCGGAAGCTTCCAGGTGCGGCATCTGCTTTTTGTTACCACATTTTAAGATTATTTAAAAAGGGGATTTTTTTTTTTCTTATTAAACATCTGGGAATGTGCTGCATCCTGGAGAAGCTCCTCTGTACTGTAGAGATCTGCCTCAATCTCTGGCTCTTGTTATATCCCTGACTCGGAGTCTTTTCTTCACTGTTTTGACAGTTCTGTCCAACGAAGGCGGAGGCGAGGCGCAGCGCCGCCAAGATCGCCCTGATGAACTCGGTTTTTAATGAGCACCCCTCCCGTCGGATTACTGATGATTTCATTGAGAAGAGTGTGAATGAGGCGCTGGCCTCCTTCAATGTAAGTTCCAATAAATACTGAAGCATGATAGTACTGTCCGTACCACTGCATTGTAATGATTTTGTTTTAGCTATTAGTATTTGAGCTTCATTTTAAAAGGTATACAAATCTTGAGATACTGATTGATTTAGGTCGATCTTTTGTTCTGTTGTCTGGATGCTCTGGATTATCCATCTGAAAAACTTGTTCATTTCTTAGTCACCGTGCTGTTTCCACTAGATTTGTTTCTTTAATATGCTCTGTTATTTCAAAGTAAGGATGATGTCATGCTTTTCTCAGAAAGAGAAACATTCCCTCAGCATAATAGACCCTCCACCTTACTTAAGGTGGATCTTTCTCATATTCATGATACTATTTTTGAATATTTTAGCATGTTATAGCATTTGGGTTAATATAGAAATGTATTTTTGTGATGGAAAAACTGATTTTTAATCTTTTTTTTTCTTGCTGGCATCTCATAACCATATGTTGGTCTTTAGATCAGTGCAATGGAGATTTGGCGACCCCCAGATGCCAAAGGGAGATTTAAAAGTTTTTTTGTTGTACTTTCTTCAGCCTTCTCTTAACTGGACATCTCCTGGTCCTTTTCCAACCATGTTTTTCCACAGTTTTAACATATTCCCAACTGTGGATGTGGAAATAGTTACATGAAAAGCTAATTATCGTTTGGAAATTTCCTCACTTATGAAGATCAACATAAATCTGTTGTACTTTAATTATTAGTTATTTCTTATTCACGTTGTGTAAAGTGAGTTAGAGAAATTGGCCTGTGTGTACAAAGGCAGTGAAATGCTTCTTGTTGAGTTTTTTTTTTTTCTTATCAGTTAGTATTAATCTTGTATCATTGTCTGTTAACTCTTGAGTGAAAAGGTTGCTGTGTGTTCACAGGGAAACAGAGAAGAGGCTGATAATCCAAACACAGGGATTGGGGCGTTTCGCTTCATGCTAGAGTCCAACAAAGGGAAATCCATGCTGGAGTTCCAGGTGGGGGAAGAAAAATCCAAAGATATTTTAAATATCTTGAACTCTGGGATGTTTATTATTAATGTTGTGTTCTTCCTTCCTTCCTTCCTTCCTTCCTTCCTTCCTTCCTTCCTTCCTTCCTTCCTTCCTTCCTTCCTTCCTTCCTTCCTTCCTTCCTTCCTTCCTTCCTTCCTTCCTTCCTTCCTTCCTTCCTTCCTTCCTTCCTTCCTTCCTTCCTTCCTTCCTACCTTCCTTCCTTCCTTCCTTCCTTCCAATGTCAGATCAAGTGCCTTGATTAAATAAATGTTTCACAATATATATATTTGAAAACAACAAAAAAAGCTGAGTGAGTCAAAATGAAACTATTTGGATATGTTTTAAACTGCAGGAGCTGATGACCGTGTTTCAGCTGCTGCACTGGAACGGGAGCCTGAAAGCCATGAGAGAGCGACAGTGTTCCCGACAGGTACTCAGTCATGTTTCTTCTATTTACACAAGAATAATTATAATTTAAACACGGGCTACATGAATGTTTTTTTATTCCAGGGTTAGTCTTTTCTTTCCCGTTTGGAATAAAAAAGGGTCACGATAAAAATCTTCAAAGAGGCAGGGGAGTCTAAAAAAAAAAAACTTAAGGAATACTATTTCATAATCTGGAACGAAAAATTTTAAAATCAGGGAGGACATAGAAATATGAGTAACTAGCAATACTATTAATTATTTAGAAGCTTTGAGGATTCAATAAAACTGTTTGGTTTCCATGCTAGCATGATAACACAACATACAGGTACAGTTATTAAAAAAAATAAATAGCGGGTCTTATCTACAGAGGGTCAAACGTTTGTGTACATAAGCCCCCATTTAAAGCTGGTGTAGTATCCCTCAGCTGGTTGCAAATGAACCACACATAATTTAAAACTACCAGCAGTCTTCTGCCATTGTTCTGAATGGACATTTAATCACTGCATTAATGAGAAATAGTGGAGCATAAAATAAGCATTTTCACTAGACCCATTGAAAGAACCATAGTGTCAGAAGTAATCATAACCCAAACTGTGCCTTAATCAAACAGCTATAAGCTTTCTAAGAATGCACCTGATGTTGACCCTGTTTAAAATAAATCAACCACAGAAAAGCCATGCAAGTTAAAGGAAATATAAGCTTTACAATTTCTGATACAACTGTGCTGTCTAGTTTATTAGTGTAAATTCAAGAGTATTGGTGAGAATATGATAAATCAGTGCTGCACAGCTAGAGCTAATCCAGCAGAGCTTGATAGGCTAACAGTTGGACAATTAAAAGCTGAAACCAAAAGTGAAAATATTGAGGTAGATTTTATTAAACTTTGGAAAAATAAAAATGATAGATAATTTAAAGCACTCAAATAATAGCAATAATAGCATGTGTATGTAAACAGTTCTTTGACCAGCCCTGCTTGATACCCTTATTTGCAGGAGGTACTGGCTCACTATTCCCATCGGGCCTTGGATGATGACATGCGCACCCAGATGGCGGCCGACTGGGTGAACCGGGAACAGAGCATGGCGAGAACCATCGCTCAGGAGCTGGCCTCGACGGAGCGGGAGCTGGAGGACGCCAGGCTGGCGGGCAGAGAGCTACGCTTTTACAAGGAAAAGAAGGACATCCTGATGTTAGCTGTGGGTCAGCTCAGCGCAGCCAACGCAGCCACTCTGCCATCGCACTAAAATAAACCCCCTCGCCACGCAGTTGGATTCCTGGTAACAGTGTTGATCGCTTTTTAAGATGTTTTGTAACCAGGATCATCAGGATTCAGCTTCCTTTTTTATTCCTTAAAAAGAAACACTTATCAAACTCTTTGTGCCTAGTAATCCCAGGAAGCTGTTCTGCTTTATTTATCCTTGGAAAACAAAACAACAAAATAAAATAAAAACTTGTCACATGGTTTTTACATTGCCACAGTTCTGGAAACTGTGCAGACAGATTTGATTCAGGTGTGGATTTGATGGCATGAATTTAATCCGGTATAAATGGAATCAGTTACTAAAAGTCACTAATGATTCAGAATCGGTATAAGCAAGCAAATTATTTGAACTTGGAGCATCAAAAATGACTTTGATTTACCTAGTTTGACATAACTAATTGATCACGCCTAACTTTTCCAACTCCACCGAAAAATGCTGTTTGTTCCCAAACAGTCTGATCTCTAATGCCTCATCTGTGCACACAACTGAGGCCAGAAACAACCAACTCCTGCTCTCCTGACAATACATATTTTTTGAATGTTTAAATCCAGCCAGATTTAAAGAAAAAAGGTGATCTGAATCACAAAAAACAAACAAACAAAAAAAAACAAAACACCTAATCGAAGCATTTTTTTCCAAAATTAAGTTTTTTGACTTACCCTTAAAGTAATATTTGTATTCCAGGAATTTTCAATATGGGTACGTTTGACTGACAGCTCTGTTTTCACACAGAGACGAAAGTCTAGTTAAAGACTTTTTTTTTGTACTGTTATGTTTATTTTACATTTGTCTATGATTTTACAACCCTGACACTTGCCGAATGTATACTTATAGCGTGCTATCAACTTTATAACTGATAAAGCTACTTTGTTAAACTCTTATTGACCATTTCTACGTCAATACAGAGTCTGAAAAAGTCAGTGTTCATAAGATGCAAATAAATTAGTATTTTCTTGCCATGTTTTGGGCTTTGAAAAAAGAAAGTCAAAACTTCACCTTGGACCTGAGTAATGTTTTTTTTTAGATCTTGGTGTTATCGTTGAAGATACTCAGAGCAGATTTTGTTCTCTGAACCGTTTAAAGTCAGCAAATGATGAACTCTTTCTATAGTTCTTTTTCTAAACTATATTTCTACATGCATAAAATTGAAGACATTTAACCTTGGAAAGAATGCATATGAATAAAGAAATTGTTTGACTGATTAATGGTGAAAATGCAGCCCGGAAGCAAACAGTAAAAACGCAACAAAGCACTTTTTCTCCTGCTGAAAACCAACCGAATCACCAACAGCTGAAATTTGTTACCTTAATGTTTTTGGAGATGGTATTTTTAAAACATAAAGGGGAAAGACTGAATTGAATTAATGTCAGAGCAGCTTTTATTTCCTTTGGGCTTATTATTTGACTTTTTTTAAATTAAAAACAATTATGATGAGATCACTAAAACTAGAACCAGAGGCCTGCAAACTCTAAATCATTACGTTGATTTACTTAGAAAGACAGAAATAAAAATACTATTTATATACGATTCTCTGAATTAAAGAAGTGACTTCTTGCAATTTTGTTCCTGTTTTCATTTACAGAAATGTTCTATTTTTGACACATTAATCTACTTGCATTAGATTACAAATGATTTTTTTAAAATAAAAATGTCCACCAATATACACATGTACCTCTATATGACAAAGTTCCCCTTATATGCCGCAGTGTTGGTTTAATTAGGACTTTGTTCTTGTAGATTTTCATGTTTGCTTAAGCAATATACAGTGTGTGGTTTTTCAGTAATCTATTGAAAAAAAGAAAGGAAATTATGAATGAAAACAAACTGTATTTCACCAAGCTGTTAAAAAAATAAGTTTGTGATTTAATTTTCTTCTTTCTGTTGTTTATTATAAAGAATATGCCCTTTAAGTGTTGTCTATTATATAAGCCATTTAAAAAAAATATTCATTTTGTTTTTATACGTAAGTATTTTTTAATTGATATCGGGTTGCTACACATTTTATAAATAAAAGAACACATTTTATTTTTTTCATTTCTTTGATTTGTTGGGTTTGATGCATGATGTCTTAGATTTTGTTTTGCTTGATCATGTTTTATACACAGTGTTGTTTTTTAAAGTTGCTTTTTGAGGGCCAATTGTGTTTATTTTATATGAACTTTTTGTATTCTGTGTTTATAGATTTATATCAATATGTAATAAATGAAAAAATATGTAGCTTGTCTTATTTTTTACTATCCACAGTTATTGCAATTTACTGTATTGTTTATGTTTTTAGGTACGTTTTAATCTTAATTTAAAACCGTTAAAAGCGGTGAAAACATATATTTTCTGTAGATAACTTTATTTTGAAATGCCTTGACCCAGTAGCGGAAGTAGGAACGCTTCCGGTTTGACGCTCCGCTGGCGGTTGGACATTCAACATGGCCGCGGGACCAATTTCGGAAAGAAATCAAGGTAATTTAAAAATATGACATGGATTTGACGACTTATTCAACCTCGCATTGATATGTAGAAACTGATATGTCTTAAAATAACTTCCTGGGGTTTTAAGCACCCTTTTCTTAGCAGTTAATCATTTACTTGAACACATGGAAGCTTTCTAGTCTTTTAGCCTAGCTTTATGCTAGTTAGCTTTTGTGCTCATTCATTTTTGTCATGTCGGAGAACGCAGGCTTTATTTTTATTTCAGATGAAATTTTGTTTTACTTTTAGCATTTAAATGTAGCTTAGAGAGCTAGCAACTTAATACCCTTTAGCACAACTCAATTGCTCTAGTAGGTAAACAATCTTACGCCTTTGTACTCTTGATTACTAGTTGATGTAAACTGTTGCTCAAGATTTTATCAGGAATATTTTTAGGGAAAGTGTTATTGAAAACATATTTCAATTTAAGAAAAACAAAGAATTTTAAGAATGTGGCAACATAAGAGGTTTTTAATAAAGATAACAACATACAAGTTAACATGCTGGGGTAAACATTTAAAAGTTTAGAAGGATCGCTACATCATTTTTACTTTAAGACTGATAAAAAGGATCAGTATATTCCCCAGGCTATGGTACTGGAAATAGAAAAAATAAACATTTGTTTTCTGTGACCTGGAACTCAGTACAATGAGCCTTTTATTGTTGATAGAAAGAAAAGTCCTATTCAAGACACCAGCTAAACAGACCTGCTTGATGTTGCTTGCAAAACTCCTGTGATGTGTTTAATTAAAATAAATGTTTTTCAAATTTCAGATGCGACTGTGTATGTGGGCGGCTTGGATGAAAAGGTGTCAGAGCCATTACTGTGGGAGCTCTTCCTGCAGGCTGGTCCTGTGGTCAACACACACATGCCCAAAGACAGAGTCACTGGCCAACATCAAGGTCTGTATCAATTTGCACATTATTATTTTTTTCAGTGTACATTAAAAGTTCTGAAGAATGTAAATATTTTAATGGAGAGCGATTTGAATGAAAATCTGAGTGGACCTGAGAAGGCAGATGAAAACTGAACATGTCATGAAAGGAGTGTTAGAGACGTTTATGAGTATAGTTCTGCGTGGTGAGCCCAGTCTGCCTTTAGTTCACTTAATAAACATTCTTCCACTTATAGAATGTTTTTTTTATTTTATTTATCTGCCTCTCATAGTCTATTTTCTATGGGGCAATTGAGTTGACTCTGCCATATTATATTATTTGTCTATCTGTTGTAGCACTCAATGCTTCAAGATCACAAATCATGCATATATATTATAAGGTGCTTCACTAATACAAGATTTTGCCAGCCCAAGTATAAGTACTAACATTTTAGTACTTTACCTATCCAAGTAACAGTCTGAATGCGGAATAAAAGCTTAGATGTAGTGCAGAGTTTTAATCAGATTCTCTGATATGCTAAGCAGAGAAAATTAGATTTTTACCTTAAATCTGGTAGCTTGGGTCCATTTAGCGTTTTTACTTCTCTTGACAACTTTGCTGAACATATTTTTTTGGTTTTTCTTCATTAAGACAGTTCTGCTTTTAGCTGTGCTTCCTGAGTTTTTCCAACCAGAAAAGCTCTTCTTGCAGGCCAGAGCCTGGATACTAATCTAACCAAGGGTTCCCCCTTGTTTCTACAAACTTGCTGTTAGAAGGAAACTTATGCTAGTATCTTTTCAGTATTGGAGCAAATTTATGGATGCGAGTACAAGTAAGGATCAGTGAATTCCCAATATGAATGGATCCAAGATTTTTTTCTTATTACAGAAAAATAGGAAAAGACTGGTCTAATGTATAAACAACACATAGGCTGGTTGTTAGTTCTTTTTGTGTGTCATACTTCATGCATTTTTAAGTTTGAAACTCTGAAATATTTTTGGCTTTTAAGATGTGTTTTACTTGACTCTGTCAATAAGTAATTATTTTTCTTTTTCTCAGGGTATGGCTTTGTGGAGTTCCTCAGTGAAGAAGATGCTGATTATGCCATAAAAATCATGAATATGATAAAGCTCTATGGAAAACCGATTAGGGTCAATAAGGCCTCAGCACACAATAAAAACCTAGATGTTGGTGCAAACATCTTCATTGGAAATTTGGACCCAGAGATAGACGAGAAACTTCTCTATGACACTTTCAGTGCTTTTGGTGTGATTCTCCAAACGCCGAAGATAATGCGGGACCCAGACACAGGAAACTCGAAGGGCTATGCATTCATTAACTTTGCCAGTTTTGATGCGTCGGACGCGGCCATCGAGGCCATGAATGGCCAGTACCTCTGCAATAGGCCTATCACGGTGTCCTACGCTTTTAAAAAGGATTCCAAAGGAGAGCGACACGGTTCAGCCGCCGAGCGACTGCTGGCTGCACAGAACCCCCTGTCCCAGGCTGACAGACCACATCAGCTGTTCGCCGATGCTCCACCACCAGTGACTGCACCGGCAGTCCTGACTGCGATGGGAACAGCAATGACCATTCCAGGTATGAACCATGACTAAAAATATATGCTTAATTGTGACTTTAAAAAAATGTTGCACGTTTTTAGCCAAACGTTTCTCTACCATTTATTTAGACTTTTTTGGTTTCAGGTCTCCCTCCTCCTGGTGCTTTTCCTCCTGTTCCTCCCCCTGGAACAATGCCCCCAGCAATGCCCCCTAGTATGGCTATGCCTCCAAATGCAGTACCAGTTCAACCAGTGTCTGCTGGTGGACCTCTGTCTGGACCACCACTTTTCCCCCCAGCCAACATGCCTCCAGGTATTCCATGAGACATTAATCAGCTGCATTTCATACATGCAGATATGCTTTCTTCTGTGGTTGCCAATCAAGACTTCTATGTAAGGTTTTTATAGGATCTGTTAGATTAAATTTAAATTGAAAGCATGTGAAAAGCAGAAATATCATTGCTATGAAAACCAACAATGACTTCCTGCAACTGCAAATTAAGGTAGAAATGGGATCTGATTCTGTTCCACAGGTATGCCACAGATGCCCATGCCGCCTCCTGCTCCTCCTGGCATGGTGCCTCCACCTCCTGCTCCCCCAGGATCTGCTCAGCGAGCTCCACTTCCTCCAAATATGCCCCCACCTCCACCAATGGGCATGCCTCCTCGGGCGCCCTATGGACCTCCTATGGGTGAGTACTGCTGCTCTGTATCAAAGTTCTCCTGCTAAATGTTTGGCTTGAGGGGAAAAAGGCTCTATTAATTGAATATAATACATAAGTCCCATTTTTCAGGGTATTTTAGCAGATCCTATTGGCAATAAAATTTTCCAAGCATTTGAACAGTTAATTGGTTCTGGATTGCTTTCTTCAGTGTCCACCTTGAAACTGTAAGGACAGTTGAATGAGACGCTAACTGGTTTCCACATAATAATAAAAGATCTACCACAGTCTTATTGAGGTGGAATGGCTGTAGTGTGCTGTGGCCATACAGGAAAAGATAAAACATTTTGTTGTCAGCTTGGTAAGAGATGAATAAAAGTGGCTATAAAGTGGACCCTTGAGGAACTGCAAAGTTTTTATGTATTTATTATTTTATCCATATGCATAATTTCTAAGAAGCGGTGTTTCTTCTAAGATCTTGACATTTTCTTTTATCTTTCCAACCTGCCAGTTTCCGATGTTCGATAAAAGTCTTTCATTTTTGATGCTATACCAATATTGTGGCTTAGAGTATTGATTTATATCAACATTGCCCCTATAGGATATCAGAATCAATCAAACATTTTAGTTTTCTTTTGGCTACATAACCGTTAAAGGTATTGTGGGGGATTTTTTAAAAACATCAGCCCTCTCCACTTTAAAAAATAAATGCGCTTGCAAGAGCATGCATAAGCCCATTTCTCCCTGTGCATGTCCTGTTTAAAATGTGCTATTCTCATAGCTCATACAAGCTTACTGTGTCCACATACAGCAGGGACTATTTATTGGACTTTATAGCGAAGTCAGTTCACTGACTGTTTGGGCAGATGATTGCTGCTTTTTGCTCCGTTGTTCACGTAACTCCTCCTCCACTGTGTGGTGCCTGCGCCATCTTTGTTATCAGTCGCCGCTGTCTGGTAGCGACAACAGGCTGCTGTGACAGCAAATTACATAGTGCTTTACGATGATAGCTCTCCACGCAAAGCATTCTGGGATATATCTGCCTCTTATGAGGCCTTTCTTTTCTTATACACATCCTAGGCACTTTTTCTATTTTGACCCTAGGCCATTAAAAAAAAAAAAAACCGGGGTCAGAAAGGTGAGCTTGAATGACTCCAAAACCGTAGCTCACCACAGACATACCCCTGAAACTCCTGCACATGCGCAGAAAAAGAAAGCTAATGGGACGAGCACGTAGGACCGCCTTACGTAAACATATCACTAGAATGATTGACAATTAAAGGACCACGTATTTAGATGATCCACCCAGATATAAAAGATGGTACTCTAAACCTTGAAACAGAAGCATTGATTCTACCAGCTTGCTTTTATTAGAGTTCAGATGCCACTACCAGATCAGGACATCCCCACTATTGATATTTGTTTTTTTGCTATTAATATTAGATTGAATATAGGCCTGTTATAAATTACTACTGATGGTTCTTTAAAGGTGGTTTTAACACTTATCTTTTCAGGGCCTTTGAAAAATAATCTGATTGGATGAAGCGTTTATTATATTCAGTATTTCAAGAGCAACATAGCTAAAAAGATATTTAATATTATCACGGCAACAGAATATGAGCGATGTGTGTCAAAGATCAGCATTGGTTAGA